GCATCAAAATTGCCATGCTTTATTTTAATGGCACACCGTGGTCTGGATTTAATTTGTCTGGGCTTCCTAGTATTTTAGGCGAGTGTCAATTCAGCTTTGATTCTTATGGATTTACATATTGTAGACATGGCAATCCGCACAAGGTTGCTTTTGGCTCTCCCACCCCTTTGCATTCATTCTGTGCCCTGGACTATAAATACAATTCCCTTTGTGTGAGCGTACGCCTTGTCCTCTCGGACTGGACCGTTTCCCCAGTGTAGGTGACTAGAATTTTCTTGATTAAACCAGAGCATTTCCTTTCGACATAGCCACTTAAAAAGTGAAAAGTGCTTATGTTATAATACCAAAGGCATTTTTATGTTTATTTTTGCTGGGGTGTGGGGTGGGAGAAATAAAGCTTTTAAATATCCCAAAAATGTGTAATGTCTACCCACGTAGAATATAATTAGCTAATGTCCACTCTGTGCCTTTTAAAGTACATCTTACATTTCTGCTCCCTCTCCCTAGCACTTATATAAGTTACAGGGACTACAGCTTATTTATTAAGAGTCTTCAACTGTGTATAAAACTGGAGCAACCACAAGTAATGGTATTTGCTGAAGGATTCTTTATCATGTGAATTTACCTTTAGTCATCTATTATTTATTTCAGCTCTTTTATATGCCATTATAATAAATATTATGACAGAGAAAGCTTTTATGCTTCAACTTATTGTAGTTCTCTTCACTTCCTTGCAATCCTTCAGGAAAATGTAACCACACTTTACCTATATTTAATGTAAATCATTAGAATGAAAAATCCCCTATTGAAAAAAGCCTCCTTCTGCAGTGTCGAGACATAAATGCACAATCATGTTTACTGCCAAACCACTGTACCATGCAGTGTTCATTTTTAAATAGTTTTAAGCTGTAAAGTGAGTACATTGCATATAGTGAAATTGCTAGCTTTCTGAGTGCTTTCACTTTTTGCTCAAACTTCTGGCTTGATAAGCATTTTTCTAGGTGTGAGGGCAAAACACTGCCAATTATATTCTATGAAGTTTTAACAGATTTACTCTATGCAGCATGGAATGTTGCTAGAATTAAATAAGAATGTTATATAGCACAGTTTGTCTCTTTGCATTTTGTTTGGTATTTTGGGAGAGAAGGGATGAAACTAATTCTGGAAATCATCAATCGTAAATTAAAGGAAGAAACAAACACCCACAAGAAGTTTAATGTGGACCATGAAAGCACTTTGTTGTGATTAAGAATAATTGCTTAATGAAGGGGATGGATAGCTTTAAAATGAGATGCGTTCAGTGAAGTGGACCCTAGTCCCAAAAGCTTATGCCATAACAAATTGGTTGTTTTTAAGGTGCTGCGAGACTGTGTCTTTGTTGTTCGTGCTGCCATAAGGCTACCTTTCTAAAAGTTAAAATATAAATAACATTTTCATGTCCCAGGGCATCGGAAGCAGCACAAGCAGCCCCTTGTGTATTTGCAAAATGGCTTTAATACAGTGCAAAGTTCAGTGCTGCAAAGGTTCTCTGGGGCTCACTGAGATTGCATGGAGGTGGGGCTGGCCTGTTCTTACTGTCTGCGTAGCAAAGCCATCATGCCCGTGGCATCTTGTACTGAGGTCATGGGAGATAACTGCTAAACAGTGAAGTGCTTTGAGCATAGGTAAAGGTTTGCATTGCGAGAGCTAAAATGGTCCACGTTTAAAATGCTTTACAGCCCATCATCTTCTTTTCACTTATCTTGATAGCTGTTCAATAGCTGTTTTCCCATTTTACTAATTAGGGGATGTTGCGGATACAGTGCATTTATCTACAGTGTCCTAATTTGACATTAATCCATGAGGAATCTCTTCTGAGGCTGTAGCCCAGTGTAGACCAAAAGTTGCTGGGTTTGTGCATTACTCCATTGTGTCTCCTCTGGTATGGTCATAAGATGGTTGAGGCATGGAAGTCCACCAGAGTTCCTCATTACGAGAAACCTAGGGAGAAACTCTGGTTAGTTAAGTGATGCCTTGAGAAGATGGTAGCACAGTTTGAGTCTGGCTTTTTTGAACAAACTTTGTGTTTCCCAAAGTTCAAACATAGCAATGAACTTGTGGTTACTTTAAAAGTAGAAGTCGGAACTTCTGATCCCTTGCTTGTGTGGCTGTAGCAGCAGAGAAATGGGGATGGCAAGAGTGCTTGCGCCTCATATCAGTGCTGCTTATGCATTGTTTAACATTATGTCCGAAAACACCCTGTTAAGTTCATCGACTAGGAACAAATGAAATTGTGTCTCAGCTTTTCCATAAAGCACTGACAATCCACTGTGCTATTGGCTTCTTTTTAAATTTAATTGAATATTTAAGTGGCGGTGGATGTATATTACCACCTTTTCTCCCAGAAGGAAACAAAAAATGCATACATATTCTTCCTTTTTATAACAACTATGTTGTCATTATCTACCTTGAGTGCTTGATATGGAAAGGAAATCCCATGCCTTTGCTAAGCCCATGTTACCGGGTACCTGTTGAAATGTCTCCAGAGGGAAGCCCATTAAAGTAAATTCATTTCAGTGCAGCTTGCACAGAAGATGTTCCTGGTTGCTTTTGTCCGTAATGTGATGAGCTCTGCTGTCTGTTCTATTCAGAAAATTGATACAAAAAAGAAAAGAAAAACATTTAAAATTTCATTCCATGAAGTATAATTTAGTACTGAAAATATATGAAGTACAATGGTGAAAGACATCAACGTAATAAAAATTATGACACGTTAGATCAGAATTTGCAGCCAGCTGTTTGCAGCCAGCTCCACCTTTATGTTATTGTTCTTATTATTCCAATGTCCTCTTTGTTTGCAGTGCCAACTATGCAGTGCTTATGGGTGCCTCCCTCCCTCCCTCCTTATATGTATATGATATATATGTTTATGTATAATCTATTATATTCAAAATTCCCTGTAGGATTAGAGTGCAGGTGAAGCTGAACTGCTAAATAAGAGAGTTCCATCACTTGGTGGTTGTTGATACTCATCACTAAGGTCCATGTAGAGAATCTGCACCAGTTGAAAAAAACAGCAAGTTGCTGCTGTTACTACACACACACTTTAACGTCTTCTACTGTCAGGATTACTTGATCTCCCAGGAATGACCATGTGAAAGGCCAATCAATATTGGGGAAAGTGAGGTTGGGAACAGTTGCAGTGAACTAGGAGTCACAAAAACCATTCGGTGGCTCTGCCTTATAAGGTGAAACCTTGGAAGTACTGGTTCTGCAGCTTTTTGGAGAAGTTCAGCTTGAAATGGGAAATTTCAGCTACATTTGGTACTCACTGGCAAATGCCTGTGGCATCATCCAAACATAATGTTGATCTAAAATTTGTTTTCCAAAAAGATAGAAAATTTCCTAATACTCATACATATGGAGAAGCTTGTAAATATAAACACATCAACAATGGTTCAAGGTAAAAAGCCAGGTTTATGAAAATTTAATGATATGTTAAAGGTTTGTAGAACAGCTGTAATTGTACAGGTGCCTGTCTGCAGAGTTTACATATGCTCGGGGCTCATGTTTTGTGGCATAATTTGTCTAGTATCCAAAAACTGCCGTCGTCGTCGTCGTCATCATCATCATCATCATCATCATCATCATCATCACCTCTTGTGACCTTGTAAAGGTCCCTACTTGAGTCTCTCCAGAAGTGCATCTTGTGGTTCTCAATAACCTTTGGTCTGTCAAATCAAACAGGGCGCAGAAGGACAGTGAACACAATGGAAATAAAAACATGTCGGTTATTCTGGCAGTCGGGAAGGCGCTTTTTTTGAAAGAGGATCTGAGTTCACTGACTGAACAGAAACCCATGTTCATAGATTGAAGTTGTCATTTATATATCACAATGCCCCTTGCCATTTTTAAAGACCTTTATTCTACCACTTGGCGTCCTTATTCCAATGGATTTCTCCTTGTGAAGGCGTTGGGGAGGTACTGCTCCCACTGCTGCCCCTTCGCATTTGTGACCGTGCCAGTGCTTCTCCTTCATTCTTGGAACCAGTAGCAGCAGAAACCTGCAGCCTGAGACCAAGAGCACAGGCGTTACCCGAGCAATAGTGTGTGGGCTTGAATCACTGTTCCCAAGAGCACAGTAACTGACAGCTTGTGGCTTAGTCTGTTGAACTACTTGATGTTTTTTGACCCCTCATTGTCCTTGTGTTTGTAACACTCTCTTTATTCTCCCCTTGGAGAAGGAAACGGAACATTATAACTTAAAAGGGAGGGGGAGGGGGAGAGGTGGCGGTGGGCAAAAATAATCTCTGTTACAGGGGAAAGATGGCAGAGAAGAAGGCCCATTAGTGGTCGGTGCTTTTAGTTCTGCATTTTCGGTTTGGCTGAGTGCAGCTTCTGCCTGGGGATGCTAATCAGGTCCGTGTACGTGTATTTAGAGATTCACCAGGGCTTGCGATTGTGCCTGGTGCCTTCTTAGCTATGCCTAGCTGCATGTGTGCAGGGCCACTTCTGCAGGGGCCTTTTTTCATGCATCCCTGAGCACAGCCGCGTAGCACAGTCCTCACATGGTGTGTGCTGCATGCGGCGAATCGCGGCCCCGTCGCTCCCAGCCATCACGGCCTCCAGGTCAGGGGAATGTGGCGGAGAGCAGCAATGGTCTTGCCTCATGCATTTATCAAGCTTGCTCACATGTTGCATGTGCATCATCTTACACTGAATATTGCAAATTCATAAATAAATAAATTCAGTTAGGCCTTTTCTAATATATGTAATTGTTTTGATGTTATATTTGGGACTTAATTCATCTGTGCAATTGAGTGTTCATGGAAATACAAGGGAATATGAAACATGGCTAAAACAACTCAGTTTTATTTATTCAGCACTCAGTGAATAAATACTGTATTCTGCGCTCCTCTTTATTAAAATAGGAAATTTAAACTTGTTTGGTGTAATATAATATTCTGAATTGAACTTGTTGCTCTTGTTTAACTCCCTGCCTCCATTTTCTATTATTTTAGCACAAAGCCAAGGTAGAAGCAATGACCTTAGACCTTGAATCTCTTCAGAGTATCCGGGAGTTTACTGCAGCATTCAAGTCCACAAATCTGTAAGTAAGGGCAGGCATTCAATAATAGCAAATTTATTGTTGTTGCTTCTGTTATTCTTAGCTGGATGGAAACAGTAATATACAGCTCTACAAGACACAACTGCATAAAGGCGATGCTTTCAGCATCACTTAAAGGTCAGTAAGGTCAGTATTTCAAAAGAGAAGCAGCTCAGGGATAGATAATTTTCAGTGAAAATAGGACACTGTTTTTTATTCTGTATTTTGTCCATGCCGCATGACTAATCATGTATCTTGGACCTTGCAAATGGGAAAAGCCATTGGGAATGTGACAGGTTGACATGGAAAACTGGTGGGCACGAGAGAGTTATGCATGACGGCTGGATGCAGAATGTTTCACAGCACTGAAGTCGCAAGCTTTCCCAGCCAGGATGCAGGGTTCTCCCTCCTCCTCCTCACCAGTGGCAAGTGATATTTACCTGTATTTATTTATCTGGTGCATTTCAGCCCAAGTAGTGCACACAATCCTCTTCTGCTCCATTGTATCCTCCCAACAATCCAGTGAGCCAGGTTAGGCTGGCAGCGATTGACTCCAAGTTTCTCAGTGAGCTTCATGGCTGAGTGGGACTTGAACCCAGTTCCCATTTAGCATTCTAGCTGTTACAGCACGCTGGCTGTAATTAGCAGGAAGGAGTGGGAGGGGGTTTCCCCCTTTGGACCAGGCAATCTTCTAGTCCTGATCAGAAATGCAAAAGTGCCCAGAGCCCAATTTCTGAATGGGCAGCTTTCTCACATATCTCAATGCTCCAGTGTGTTGTATTGGTTAAGAGTGCAGGACTGGGGCTCAGACAATCTGGGTTCTAGTCCCCACTCAGCCATGGAGCCAGCTGGGTGCCTTTGGGTCAGTCACAGACTCTCAGCCCAGCCTACCTCACAGGGTTGTTGCGGAGATAAGATTGAGAGGAGTAGGAGGATAATTATGTAAGCCACCTTGAGTTCTGTGTAAGAAAAAAGGTGGGTGGGATATAAATATAATAAATAAATTGAGGCCAAACATTCTGGATCCTTTAAAAGGGGCAGAACCCGTATAGGGCCAAACCATCACTAAACTTTTCAAATTGAATTCAGCTGGTAGGACCTGTGCATTCCAAGCGTCTTACTGTATTCCAGCCTGACTCATGGAATTTTCACATTTTTGTCACGTGGAGAATTGTAGAAACTGTCATTAAATATAAATTTAAAGCCCCCGCATTCTCGAAAAGGGTGACATTAAAGTTTTTGATTCACTTTGCCAAATTACATATGTGAGAAAATAGCATATTAAACGCTATTGATCAATCGCTTGTTCTGTGCAAACTGTTTTAAATTGCAGCTGCATGTGCTCATTTGAGCAACTAGGCCCTAGGTACTTTCCTGCTTCAGCTGAACACTGGTGGCCTCCATGTTGATTACCTTGCCTGGCCGTGAATAAACCGCTGGGCTGCATTTCCCATGCCACTTAACAGTTGTGCCATTTAAGTCAAACGGACTGTATCATGTTTTTCTCTTAGGGCTACTTTTGAGCAGTTCCATGTTAGTGGTCAGTGTTTACAGATAAGCTGTCTGGTTTTATATCTCTCCTGTGCTAATATTTTTATGTGTTTCGTATAGAAAACAACTATTTTATGGTGTTCCTAAGTCTACTGGTGATTGGCCAAAATTGTTTCATAGGAAAAGAAGACACTGCCTTATACCACACCAGACCATTGATTTGATTTATCCAACCTGGTATTGTCTATGCCAGAGGAGAGACTCACTTTTGGTCCAGAGACCATTTTACCCCACACTCGTCAGACCAAACTGGTGGGCCAGATGATGACCAAAAGCCTTCTGATATTATCCACCCGCACCCTGAGAGCGGTGTGTCTGTGGCTGACCCAAAGGCACCCAGTGGGCTCCATGGCGGAGTGGGGACTGGAGCCCAGGTCGTCCGAGTCCCAGTCCCGTGCTCTTCCCCACTCTGCCACACGGGCTATCACACCTGAGAGGGCTTGCATGAACCGGGTGCAGGGATATTCGGCATACTGCCAGGTAGGCAGGGTAATCTGATTCTGCCTGGACACATGGCTGCCTTTCCTACTAAAGCCCTGGAGGTGATTCTGGTGGTTCTGGATCAGGGCATCTTGATATTTTTCCAGCGAGCGGACTTCAGCGTGGGTGGTGATCTCAAGGATGCTGTTGACATCTCTTGATTCCTCTTGACCCTGACAAACACTGTTGCCCTTGTACAACGTAGAAAATAAACCAATGCATGGTAGGTAATAGGAACTTCCTGTAGGTTTCAACCAAATCTAGAGTAGTCCAATGTGGAAAGTGATTATTATTACAACAACAACAACAACAACAACAGCAACAGATATTATTATTATTATTATTATTATTATTATTATTATTATTATTATTATTGATAGGACATAGTGATGCGCCAGAGCACTGTGTGAATGATTGCCTGCAATGATTTAACAGATTCTGTTAGCAATTCAATCCACCTACGCCTCCACGCTGGTTTCTGCAAGTCGTATCTCCATTGAACTTGCTTGATTATAATTCCTTCTTCCTGGGAATGGGGAATGGAAAACCTCTTTTTATCTGAGAGAAAGGTTCAATTTTGCAGAAGGTCTTGTGGGTTACATCCCCGCCCCACAACACCATCCTAGTTCAGCTTAAAGCTCCTACTGCCAGTAACAATGATTTGGCAGAGGCCCTGAGAGCCAGGGCGGTGTCTTGGAGTGGGCCGTGGGCGTCCCAGATTCTTGTGGTCACTGGGCTATTACGCTTCCTGGGTAACTTAAAGCCAGTTGCTCAGCCTGACTTCACATGATTTTTATGAGAATAAAATGGAGAGGCAAGGGATCGTGTGATTTGCTTTGGGTTCCTTGGAGGGGAAACAGATGGAATATCAGTGTAACTTCCTCCTTCTTCCTCTTTCTTTGGGCTTTTAGAATGGGGGACTTGTATAAAAGCTGAAAAATCACCACATGATTGGTGGTCAGGGAAAAGGGATGGCCAAGAAAAAGGGACATGGGCAACTGGAGACCTCCAGAGACATGGGCCTTCCTTGTGGACCTGGGATTCCCCAAGCTTGTATTCTGGATAATTGTGGTAGAAATAGGAAATTTTCATAGGATCATAGAATAGTAGAGTTGGAAAGGGCCAAGAAGGCCATCAGATCCAACCCCCTGCTGTTGCAGGACACCAGTTTACAGCATCCCACTCAGAGGGCTGTCCAGTTTCTTTTTAATGTCTCTAGTATTCAGCACATCAGCAAACAAAAATCCAGTATTCTTTGGGAGAAGCCATGAAAATTAAATTGATATGAAACTGAAGATACTTTTATAGTGTGCTTATGACAGACTGTGAAATCAGACTGGTCAAAGCATCATTGGTAAATTTTGCTATTTATGTACATAAACTGGAAATAGTGCAGTCCCTCTCCAGAAGACTTACACTGCCATCAGGATAGACCAGGAAGAAGTCAAGAATTGACAGAGCGGAAGTACAGGATGAATCAGGTGGGAGCAGAGACAAGGCAAGCTCTGAGCATCTGAGGAGCCCTTTCTGCCCCCAAGCCACCCACAGGGGCTTGCATGTTTGGTAGACTGGGTGGCTTTGGAAATGCTTACCTGAAATAAATGAGGCTATTGCCTGCTGGTTTGGATCTGTAGCTGGGTGAAATGGGGGGGGGGGGGCTGGATTCCAGTCAGTTGCAAAAGGTGAAGACTGAATTTGCTTTGAAGGGGTTATAATGATTTCAGTCAGATGGTTTCCTTAGTACTCGGTATGCTTCATTAGTCAACCAGCTGACTTACAAGAACTTGAATAGTGTAACTTGAAGAATGACAAAGTGCTCCCTTGGCTGAACTGGAACTTAATGAAGTCGTCTTGAGGAGAGGAGAGGAGAGGAGAGGAGAGGAGAGGAGAGGAGAGGAGAGGAGAGGAGAGGAGAGAGGAGGATCCAGCCAAGTGAGAATGCCCCTCAGCATGTATAAAAAACAAGCAAAAATTATCTGCTCTGGTTGGGGGAGGGAATACACAGTAGTTAAAATTGGGCCTTTAAAAAAAAAGTTTCCTCTCCCTCAGTTTCCCTGAAGCAAAGAGCTCAAATAGCAGATAGATTTTCAAAGATGCTTGTGTTTATATTGGATATTATCCTCTGGTTTTTAAACCTGAGCTCATAGACTCTAGTGGACAATATAAGAAACTGTTTGCCAACAAAGGATCATCTCAGTGATTCTTATTTTTTTCTTTTTGAGATGTATAAAGTACAATCTAGGGAGTTAATGTGTTTAATATAGAATTATCAGTAGATTTTGTACATTTTATCTTAAACACACAAATATTCCAATAAAGTTCTGTATACAGACTTAAATTAATTAACTCTCTCAGAGCTGAGCTGAGTGTTTCAGCCTGAGGGCCAAATTCATTTCTGGAGGAGGCCTTAAGGGGCCAAACTTCTCTCTGCGTGTGCGAGGGGGGAGCGCAGGGGGCAGGGCCAAAAATACTGGTAACTAAGCCTCAGGAGATCATTAGCAGTGGGAAAAGGTGGTGGGGCTGGGGAAAGATGCATGGCCCAGAAGGCTGGTTTTGGCCCCTGCCTTATAGTGTACACATTGCGGAACTTGAGTTCCTGAAAATAAAATCTAATTATGGATTTTAGCCCTGTAAAGCAGTTACTTACTCCTTGCTGCATAAATATGTTTGGTCTCATAAAGCTTTATTCACAGCTGTTGCAACCTGATTGTTCATTGCCAGCAAAGTATATTTGGGGAATGCCAATCATTTCTCTTAAATATACTGACAGGTAGTGATTACAGAACACATTAATTCTGGATGGTGTCTTTTGGCTTCAGTTTTGGTGGGGTTGCAGTACATGAGCCTTTATGCAGCCGTGTTTGGCCTTTCCATAGACTTTCCTCCAAAAATCCACGATGCCTTCTGCAGATGACCTGACTCATTGCAGCGGAATGGGAGGATGCCGTTTATTGTGCGGCACCTATAAAAGA